GTTGATCCATTGCAGTGTTTCCCGTAAGGTGTGCCGTGGAAGATTATCTGGTTCCACCTGATTTGTACTCTAAGCGACCAGCGTGACTAACGGAAAGAACAGTTACATTCTCTTCCACTAGAGGGCAGTACAACTACCTGCTCTAATTAATTAATTGGGTTGTCAACTGCCAGTAAAACAGAAGAAGAAGAAATTACACGATAGTCACGCTGTGAGGCAACGCAGTGCATAATAGCGATAGATAAATATTTGAAAAGAAAAAGTAGTCAATCTGACCTGGGTCCTGGAGAAAATTCCAACCCAGGTGAAGGCCTTAGCATGAGTAGTGGTCAGAAGAAAGCAAAAAATTATCAACATGCTTTTTGTGTCAGTTTTGTTTGGTGGCGTGCCGTGTGAATGTTCAAATGTGAAATATACGCTGTGGCTCCAAAAGGTTGGGAAACACTGATCTAGTGGAACTACCTGATTTTTTGTGACCCGACAGAGGAACCGCACTGATCACCTGGTTCGTTAACTGTGTCTGTGTGAAACTACAGCCACACATGACCCTGATGTAGAAAAAAGTGAATGAGACATGTTGTGCAAAGAGCTGCGGCTGCTCAAGTAGAGTAGAAAAAAGGTTAAATGAGACCTAATTCATTTACACTGTCAGTGCCCTATCTATACTACATATCTCTACTACTCAATATCTATACTTTATTCCTTGTGGACGTATATCTGGGTTTGTGTTCTTCAGGGGATTTTCTCATGAGGCTTTAGAGTTAAGTAGTCTCATGATGACCTTGCATGTGAAAGCCCTTGAATTTTTCTTTGTTCTTCCTGGGTTTGAGTCACAACCGTTCTTTAATTACACTTGTCTTCATTTGGTTTTTATAAATTTATACAGTGGCTTTAATTGTGCATCAGTAACGTTAAGCTCCTGGCAGCCTTTACAGTCAGCAGGTGTTTCTAAAACTACAGCTGGCATTGCTTGCAAAGCTTTCCCACGCTGCATTCACGGAGTCCTCGCCGTCACAGATTTAAAAAGTGTGAACAATGAGCGGCACACCGATCTACAGCAGTGGCTTAATGTAAGACTGTTTCTAATGGCTAGCGCCCTGCAGTCATCTGGAATTATAACAGCGTTCACATCCACCGCACGCTGTTAAACTTCTTAGAAAGATTTCAATAGAATTTATGAAACACCTTAAAATTACTTCAGCACTTGTGAAATCCAAGATACACCCAGAGTGAAAACAATCATATAAAGGCCCCTCAGAAGCTGGCTGAGTGCTGTCGTTGGCGGTCACAGGCTTTATTGGGACTGTAAGGTTTGATGATGGACAGCTTTCAGGAAAAAGCCGGCATCAGGACGGCAAGAAGCATAAATCTTACACTACAGAGTGAGCGCTAAACTTTTCTAGCCACGCGCTTTCATATTATAAAGATTCGTGATTTTTATAAGTGTTCACACAAAACACCAGCTGCGTGGAAGCTTATTCAAATGCATCGCATCCACGTGGTTTTAAGTGCAGCTTCTGTGTCGCCCGCGTTTTATGTCAGGAATACAGTGGTAGCTGGTTTTATGTAGGCTAAGCTAAATGCAACGTTCTCCCACCATTTGAAGGAAACTTCAGAGCCTGTATGGAAATTAATTATTTCTCTGGCGGGACATGAAACATTTGAATTTTCTTATGACTAGATGAAAGATAATGAAATGACTGCATTTTGGAGAACTAAGTCCACATCCACGCCACAGAAAAACCCGCCTTTTTTTTTTAAGGTGTTAGCATAATAAATGTGTTAGTGCAAAACAAAGGTTATGCTGATTTAAGGAGGAAATAAGACTTTATTTTAAAAGCTGGAGCATCGAGGGCGGCTGATAAAACGAGTTTGGGGAGGAGAGAAGGTGTGGGCCGAGAGCAGGAGGGGGGAAAATATGTAGCAAGAGGGGAAAGATTGAGGTAAGTTGACAGTGTGAGAAATCAGGATTAGGATGAAGAATGTGAGCGAGCTTGAGGGACAGTGTGCGAGCGGGGAGGGTGGGCAGAAACACCGAAAGAGAGAGCGCAAAGGGAGGGAAAAGGAGAAAACAGAAGTCTGACTCTGACAGTAGAGCAGTGAGCTCAGCTGATGGCCCCTAATGAAGTACGGCAGCTGCAGAGGAGGAGTTCGCGCTGACAGCCCGAGACCCACTCTGACGGATGGCGGCGAAGACACACACACACACACACACACACACACACACACACACACACACACACACACACACACACACACACACACACAGCAGAAAGACAGCTAAAATTTAAGCATACCAAAAACTGTGATAGACATGCCATGCAAGGAAGAGCAGAGAACTGAATGGGGAACATTTTCAGGATTCTCTGAATGCACTGCAGGATATGAATTTTCCCTGTTTTATCCTCCAGTGAACACAGTGAATTCTTCTCTGGTCTGCGGCTGTCATTTGAAAGAGGCCATAATACTGCTCGTCTACTGATTCTCGGTTAATTTGAGTTTTTAGACACAGAATACACAATAAGTTTTTTTTTTCTCTTCTTCTTTCGTGACTCGTTGACGTTGCTTTCCTCAGTTGACACAGCGATCTGCTTTGTTTTAGGACATGGCAAGCTTCATCCAAGGAGTTATGCATATATGTTACATAATGACATAGAGAAGTCACATAGAGAAAAAGTCTGACTGCTTACAAGGAGAGTAAGATAGTTTAGGAGCAGGTATTTTGTGTTGCATATAGCTCCCTCTGGTGGGGCTTTATAGGTTTGCATTTTTGACATATAGAAGCTAAACAAAAACAAAAGGCTATACTTCACAAAAGAGTTAAAAATGGGTACCACACACTGATCCACAACTCCAACCACACCTACCCATCTGACTAGCTCTTGAGTTCCTATCTAGTAAATTTGGATCTAGAAGCAAATGAACTAGTGGGGAACAGTGAATCAATGAGCTGGCTGATCTCCTGGGGAGATCACCTCGCTTTTTGTCATTTATGTTTAGTCACTGAACATGTTGTTGCCTTCGACTTGTTTTAAGACAAGCTTGAAGTGCTTTTAGTGTCCAGAGAGACCAATGGTGACTTGGAGTTTGGAGCTATGAACTGAAACATGACAAACATAGTACTCCGTGAATTTGGTACACATGTTGAGGTTACAAAGGAAAGATTTTGACGAAACAGCCAGTTTGAATGCAGTAATAGTTTTTAAATCAGCCCGCACCTTGCTAATTGTCTGACACACATCACAGCACAGGTCACTAATTAGACACGTTGCCTTATGTTGTAAATATGGACTAAATATGGTTGTTTTCAAACCATCAAAATGTAACAGTTGTCCACATCGAGAAATGAAGAGCATCACAGCAGCGAGTATGAACAAACATATGGTCAGTTTGACGAGTGTAACGAAACAATTTTCTGTTTTGTTGTTAGCTGTGTAATGTTTGAGGACTTGTGTAGAAAACATAGGCTTTAATATCTCTGCACTGCTAATTGTACAATACATCGCATATATAAATACATGGATAATCAATAATATGACACAGTAACAGCACATGTAAGTGTGATTGTGTTAAACAGCAGCACGGACTCATTTCAATCAATATTTCTAAGATTCTCGGCCATTTGTTTTGTGTCATTTTTTAGGACAGTGTGGGCTGGACTGAGGTGGTCCGTGGGCCGGTCCTGTTTTTTTGCCCATGTCTATTTTAAGACATCTGCAGCACTCCAGAGGAGACATAAATCCTGAAATATTTTTGATTAATCTTTATTGTTGCTGTGTTGCATGTTGAGGTCAGTGTACTGGAAGATTAAAATATTGTGCAAAATGCAATTATGACTTTAATAATGGATTTTTTTTCCTCTCCTTTAATCTTGGAACAAGTAGACGCTTTCCAACTAGAAATCCTGTAAACAAGGAAAAGACTGAGAACAGAATAAATACAAAAATATCGGTAATACCGTTCAGCAAATCGCAGGCAGGCATGGTGATGAAATCAAGTGGAAGTTAGGGTGCAGACAGTGGTGCATGCCTAAATCTAGCTGCACGATGATTACAAAGTCCTCTACTCCCCTCTTCAGGATAAAAAAAATTAAAATAAATCTATGTTTATGTATATGTTCATATAATTAATGCAAACAAATAGACGCTGCAGGTAGCGTTAGAATACTTGTATAACACTCCCTTTGGATGGGTTTATACAATACTTTCCCATCTCCCGTCGAGGTATCAATTTTCCCCATTTATTATTTATTGAGGCTGTTCAATGACATACAAGCTGTAACTTGGATTCTACAGTCACGACCATTTTATTACTTACATTCTGCATAGATTCACCAAGGAAACGTTCCTCTGACGTGTTCGTCCATACTGACTTGTCATCGCAACTCCTGCAGGTTTGTTGGCTGCATATTCATGGAACCACAATCAATAGGACTAACGTCACTGTTTAACCACCTCCAACCAGTCAGAGCACATGGTTACTCCTCCCTGAACCTGGTTCTGCTGGAGGTTTCTTTCTGTTAAAAGGGGGGAGGGGGTGGGGGGGTTCTCCCCACTGTCGCCAAGTTCTTGTTCAAGTGGGATTGTTGGAGTGTTTACAATATAAAATGATAAAATGCCTTGAGGAAAACTAAACTGAAATATTTGCACTAATTAGGTTTGACTAAGCAGTCAAATGGGTGTACCTAATAAAATGGCCAGTTTGGAAATAGCATTATTTAAAACACTTTAAAAATTGATTTCAATGGAAAAATCAAAATCATAAAACTGTATATTTGTAGTTGGGTAGCTGTTATATGATATGAAAAAGTGCATTCAAGACACACGACTGCAGGTGGCAGCAAAACCCCACATTTCCCACCAGCTGCCTTGCACAGCGACGTCCATGCTCCAGTCAAAAGGCAACATTTATCATCATGGGAGTTTATTTGGATAATTTGATTTCTCCTCAAATCCCTGTTCTAAGCTTTGCTCCCCCGAAAGCAAGAGCTGACACGAAGATATGGTTAAATAGAGCCGTTTATTTGACAACTGTTCAATAAAAATAAAATTAAAACGCTACAAAAATTCTTTAAAATCAAATTGTACAAACCATGGCTTCGATTTAATCTCGCCTCAACACAGAAAAATACAAAAGGCACTGTGTATTAGTCTGCTGAATATATATATATATATATACACACATATATATAAAACATCTGAACCAAAAAAAGTAAACCAGTGAAAGTCACAACACATTATTAGTAACTCCCTTCATATAAAAAAAAAAAAAAAAGCAAAAGCCATATCTGATCACCAGATGACACAATTAAATCATCTCGTGTCCTCCAAGTGCAGACGTGCTGCTCACAGAAGCTATCGAAGAATCAAGTGACCAAAATCCAAAGAAATTATTCTTCTAAAGAGAAAAATAACAGAACCAAGGAGTGTGAAAAGAAAAAAATAAACAAGGAAAACAGTGCAAAGACATACATATATATATTTTTTTTTTTTTAAGGAAAAGAAAATTCCGTAAAGATGATGGGATATGTGCAGGTGTCAATGAGGATCTGACGCAGGCTTCTACCAACAGGCAATCAATTTAACACATTGACCCATCACCTTTTAAACCCACTCCAACACCCCTCCCTCACTCTTGAACAGTTATTTTGGTATACCAAACCTCTCACGAGTGTCTGACAGAGGCAGAGAAGGAAGAAAGTCCAACGCTGGTTATTTGCATAAGTTCACGCGCAAACAAGGACCCGAGTCTGTTGGCTTTACGGATTGTGCAAAGATGTCTCATCAGCCAAAACCTAATGTGGATGTCGTGGAGATTCACATTCATACGGATCCTTGGGATCCATTTTTTAAGTCGTGCCAAAAGCATATCTAGAGATTTCTGACCACAACTGGAACCTTTCCTTCTAAAACCCCCTGACAGGCAGGTATAACTGACAGAATTGGGGCAGACACCTCAGTCATAACACTGAAAAGAGAATAGTTAAACAAATAAGGGCATTCCACAGGATGTGCAGGAAGAGTGCGACTAGGAGGCATAAACAAAGAAAGAAATCACTTCATCTGCTGTTTAGTAAGTTGGTTTTACATGACACATTCTTTACCTTCCCAACCCCTCTGCGTCCACAAATCCAGCAAAATATTTTTAGGCATAATTCTGTTTGTACCTTTCTGCTGTGCAAATTCACTGTTCAAAGCTTTTTAGTAGCTAGAAAGCTAATTAAAGACACCTGACTTTTTTTTTTTTTTTAGTACAATCTTTTTGGCATCCAGTTTCATGTCCAACTAGCTGTTATGACAAGTACAAGAGAAAATACCTCTCCACATACGAGTCAATCTGTAGCAGTGCTTAACAATTCCTGTTGGCATCCAGCCATCAGAATCATTCAGTCCATAAAAATCATAGGAAACCATGCTCATCAAGACCCTTCGGAGTAACTGGATTCCACTTCGCAAAAGTCTTAGGAGTGGAAATGCCTGGAAAAACAAAAGCCGGAGAATCAGTCAGAGATTTAAACCAAACAGGTGCATGTGAGGTCTTAATAAAAGTGCGCTGTGCTTTTGCATACCTGATTCTGTTCTGCTTTTGGAAGGTTCTAGTGTTTGAACATCTGTCAAAGGGTGCCCCCTCCCTTCGACATCGCTCTCCCCTGATGACGTATGGTCCTGTGCTCTCACGTACACGGCAGGCCTCTTGTGGTATTTGGCCCGGTAAGTATCTGTCATACAGTTATCCACTGAAAAGTAAGTGGTGGGAAGAACTCGATCTGTCAGAGTTTGAGAGTCTGTACCATCATCGTGTCTGGACTTTGGACTGGGTAACCTCTCGTCGCTCTCGCTGGCCGACAGATCGTTCCTCTCCTGGTCTGACGACCCCGACTTGGAGCTGGCATCTGATGAAAGCCTGTGCTCGGCAGGCGTCTCGATCCACCGCCGGAGGCTTGTGTGCGAGTGGGGAGACGAGCCATTTTTAGGTTCGCTTCGGGAGCTAAACCGCTCTGGCACCTCTGGTGGTAAGGAGTGGATGCCAGATGGGTCTGTGCGACTGTTGCCAAAAGTCTTGAGAGGTAAAGGTAGAGGAAAGCTGTGAGACAGAGAGTCTGCAGGGCCAGAGCCATTCTCTTCTTGCTCCGAAAACTGTCCAACAAGGTCATCTGAGCTGTTCCACTCAGAGCTGCTGGTCTTTGCTAAGTAGGGAGGCACAGGGCTGCTGTCCACATTCTTCTCTCGCTCGTCGTCCAGGCCATTGTTCTTTTCCAAGATCCCGGGTGTGTACCGGAAGGCTCTTCTTCTGCTTGAGCGCAAAAACAGAAACATTTATATTTCACTTAAACTTGTGAAAAGTCAAGTGAAGCATTTCGCTAACAACGTGCACTTCTGAATAACCTTTTTTACCTTTGTAACAGCTGATCAGACAACATGTTGGACTCTTGGAGTTCAGGAGATTTTCTCCCTGGTTCATCTACACAAAAAAAAAAAAAATTTTCATCAGTACTTTATAACACAAGACCCTAATTTTGTAAAGTTATCACAAACAGATGGTCCAAAATAAGAGCCAGGTAGCATCTGTCACGGGTTTCCATTTGAATATTGCTACAATATCTACTTTATTTTTTTTCCTGTCTCTCTCCTGCAGAGACATGTTATCTAACAGGGGTCATGGTAAGGCCTTTTGCCTGGTGCTGCGAGAGGAAGTATCAAAGCAGCTAGTCTGGCAGAGCGCCCTCAAGGCCCCAGTGTACCACTCTGACTGTCTGATCCAGCCAAAGAACATGGGCCCTCAAAGGGAATCTGGGTTCATATCCAGGCCTGTTAAGTTCGAGCCAACAGTCCTAATAAAACAATAAGGACCTTGATTGAACTCTAACTGGTTCATAAGTTCAGTCTAAAAACTAATGAATACAACAACAGATGAAAGTAACAGTCTTTTAACCTATAGGCCAAACATATCCCAGTGAGATGAGCCTGAGTTATGCTGCTAGTACTTGGGGCTGATGGTTGATTTTAGCCATGAGATCAGCACAAACACATGTTTAGAAGCAGGTCCCTGCACGGGGTCGGGTGTGGAGCTTTGCCAAGTTAGCTGGGCGTGTGTGATTTACTTGGCCTGCGCCAGACAACAGCTGACTAACAGGACAAGGAAGGGAGTGAACGACTGAGGACCATCTGTGATGTGTCAGCATACCCCCTCACCCCCACCCCCCACCGCTCTCTCAAAGCATTAGTGGCTAAATCCTTTGTGCTGGCATGCAATTACGCCGGGGTCAGACTCCAGACTTTACATCCCCTCCACAACACTATTGCGTTTTTAAGCCGCTAAGTCCATGCGACAATTCACAATTTGATGCTGCTGCTGATCTGTGATGTTGGCAAGCAACCGTAACAATATCAGTCTTGATAACAAAAAGGGATGCAGTTGACGATGATTTTCTCTGTAGAAAATCCCCTCTCCGTCTTTAACGTCACGTGCAACAATGCAGAGAGAAAACTTGAACTTTAGCACTTAGCTGGTAAAACCTCCAGGTTCTGTGATTGATCTAATAACATTTCCAATTTTTCAACATAAACTTGAAAGTACGAATTAAAGTGCTTAAAAATGTGAACACCACAAAGAGAATGAGAAAGCATGAGAAAAAAATCAGTTTGAAAGAAAAGAAAAGGAGCTTTGAAAGTTTAAAACATTTAAACAAGGGTCATCAAGAACTGATCTGGTATCATTTTAATTTGCTGAAGTTTCGTTGACCTTTTTTGACTATTACAAAAAATAGAAAATAAATAGCACACAATGTAGCTTTAAGGCAGTCAAGTCATGATTCCAGCCTTGTGTTGTCTGATGTACTTAAAACATCTGGAACATCAATCAGAAGGGCATGCAGGTTTGCAACTCCAAGTTTCCAAGCAGGGAAACTGAACAAGAAATATCACATAAGTGAATCACAAAAAGTTGGGAAATGGCACGGCAGTAGGTCAAAAGCCGTGGCGTACATGTGTACTCATTAGCATCATTCACTGGCTTGTTAAGTGGCATTAATGAGCCAAGCAACTGGCTCTTAACGTGCTACATCATGGACACAAATAAACAGCTATAAAAGATGTATGCAAACAGAATGTAGAAGGCATCCATGTAATGGTATAAAGGATGAAATTCAGTGACATTTAACCTTTTCTGATTGTCATGTCAGTTTGGGGTTTTTTAAAACTAGATCAGAAAGCATCATAGTTGACTTTTGGCAACTATGATGATGATGACAAACAGCTGTAACAGCTTCAAACGTGTATTTCTGTAGATAACTAGTGAGGTCGGCAGAAGCCAGTAAAGGAAAAGTGAGACAAACGCATCAGGTTCAAGTGTCCGTCCAATATGCTGGCAGGCGGGCAGGACGTACGATTTCACAGCGTGTCAAAAGTTCTGTCATTAAGGTGGCAAAAAAGGCCCCGACTCGAATCTCTTTCCTAGTGCAACAAGCCATCAGAAGAACGAATATCTGCGGTAAAAATGTCAACAATGCTCCTCACAACTGCCCTCCCACACGAATGTGCTTTCCGAAAGGATTTTAGTCTTTAATGGACTAGTGGAACCTGCTCAGGCTTCTCTGAAACTGCAGCTCACGCCAGACTACCACCACTGAACTCGTGCCAAATTGACTCTGGACACATTTACTGCGGCTTGTCAATACAATTTGCAGGCAGCCAGGCGTAAATATCCCATACTGATTTCAAAAATAGCTACCAGAGAAGAGTCCTCAAAGGCCCTTTCAGGGTTTTTTTGTTCTGTTTGTTTTTTTTAAAACAAGGTTGAGCTTTGACAGTTCACAAAGCAACATTTCAAGACATTTGTGAACTACAACACAGCTGTGGGTACTTTTGAAATATAACCAGGCCCTGTGAAACATTACAAACAAAAGAGAGAGAGAAGGATGAGTGGATGCAGCTTGATACAAATATGATCGTAATTCCTTAACAGCCTGAATGAATAAATGAGAGGATCGATGAGTGCTTGTCCTAAAATTACTAGCAATAACTAAACTAAACTAAAGCAATACTACAGTTTGTTTGTTTTTTACATTTTGCCAGATTAAAAACTGTGTATGCCACAGTAGTCTTTGCCTCCTTGCCAGGGCTTCAGTCACATGAATCTCTCTGCATGTGCTGATGCTCACAGACAAAAACAAGACCGGCGATGCTTCTGTTTCTCAACTTGCCACCCTTATGTTGTAGCTATATTTAACTCGGCAATGAACCTCAGATCGTACCTGCATTTTCTTTTGGGAACTTGAAATAACTGCAGAGCTGTAAAACTGCATTTTATTTGAGCGGTGTTTGAATACCACCTTCTGACAGGTCCAGTCGTGGCATTTTCTGTCTGGCTGGGCACAGCTGGGTGGCCCCAACAAGCTCACTCATCTCCCCCTCCAATTCAGGATTAACTCAGGGTATTTCCATTGAGGGAATTAGCAAGGCATTTTTCATTTATAGTTTCTTTCACTCCTTTTGCAGTGCTGATAGTGTGCATCAGCAAGCACATGCTAGATAAAGAATGTCAAGGGTGTCCAGGAGACAAGCCCCCTAGTGCTATTCGTGTCACCTTATCTCCCTCCCATCCTACCTAGAGGATAAAAAAAATAAAAAAATACTGCAACTTCGCAACATGACTCATAGTTAAGACTCATCGTTTCTTTTTCCTTTTAAAACAGAAGTTCTGAGCTCTAAACCCGATTTTCACCCCAGATTTTGCATCCCCGTGAATCTAAAAGTTATTGTACTTCCTGCAGAAAGAAACCATTATTCACCGCAGTTAACAGTTGAAAAGGTCCTTGAGGTTTTTTTCCCTCCCCCCTACCATTTTCCATTTGTTCTTCTATTCACTGAAGGACAGCCAATTAAATAAAATTAAACTGAGCCTGGCTAGTATTTTTCCACACCAAAATAACAGTGTTAAAGGTACAAAGCTTGTTCCCCACATGGGCTCATTCTTCCTTTGAGCTCATGTAATTTCACTAGGTGCTGCATAACATAAACTTTACTCAGGAAAAAAAGGTCAGGGCCAGTCAGTCTGGAACCAGAGCGCACACTTCCATACAGTATCCCTTCAATCAGGCTGTGACCTTAACACGACTGATAGAACAATAAATCAAGGAAACTGCAGCATACTATCTTAATGTTTCAGGTCCTTACAACACATGGAAGTCTACTGGGGAGAGGAAGTATCTTCAGTATCAGGGTGGAGCCTTTGTCAGAAACTGATGCTTTCATCTATTCCCTCTAATGTGTGACGAAAAATGTACAGAGATTTACTTGAATAACGACAAAATACTAATTTTTCACTTAAAGCAATAGTTACTTACTAATGGAAATTGTTGAGTACAGCACGTCACTCTTCAATTCATCACTTCTTCTCCGAGGAAAGTTATCCCTAAAACACAAAAAATATAGTTATTGTTTGTTTTTTTTAAAAGCCACGAGCTCAGAGCAGATAAAGGTGGATAACAACGACTTTAGTTAGAATCTGAGTGCATAGTTGCATCTCCAAAGAGACAGTGCAGTAGCATGATTTGCATCCCAGTATGAACCCAGACATCTTATTGTAATATCCTTGTTTTTCTTTTGTGTTTCTTGATATACAACAGCAAAAGTGTTATGCTTTTATCTCCTCTAAGATCCATAAGATGTAGTAGAGAATAACAATAATACAATAAAATCACAATTTCACAGTTTTAGTGGCTTCAAGCTTTAACCCAAACCAGTCACAAAAACATCTTAAATCATGTTGAAGAATTAATAATTAAGGAGACTCTTTACTAGCGTACTGTCAACAGATATGCTTAAATAATGCACCGGCTTTTGAAGAAGTCAGCTATCTGAGGCTGCCCCTGCTGAGTACAGGAGTTGTCAGCTATATGGGATCATTATCTACAAACAAGCCCTGAACTACAAATACAACAAATGACAGCCCAGCAAAATAGGATTTGTGCATCTGCCTTGTGTGCATTTATTGTTAAATGAGACCTGCTATTCTTAGATCAGTTTGTTTGTAATGTTTTATTATTTAGAAATGGCAGCACTTCCGAGACTCGAGTCCTTAAATGAGTAGGCCACGAGATGACAAAGCGCCTCTATGATGCTGTCGTCATGCAGGAAATATTGTGTCAGCTTTTTTTCCCTCTGCATCATGCTTTGCAGTGCAGAGTTTTGGTGCGTCTGGGTGATGTAAACCCAAGTGGAAGGATCTGTTTTACCTCATTGGATGCAGCTCAGGTATGGGCCGGAGGTCCTTGGAAGAAATGTTCTCTACAACGGGCGAGTCGAGATTAGCTGAGCCATTGCTCAGTCTGTCACTGCTCTCATATCCAGATTCAGTTCTCTGAATCTTCCAGTTGTCACTGCGCACTTTAAGAGTTGCTGAGCCCTTTGCTCTGTCCTTGTCAGTGTGGCCCCCGCGGCTGTCCGAGTCCAGAGAGCTTCGGCTGCCACCTATTTCGTGCTTCTGCTCGTCCTCGTAGATGGTCATCAGGCTCTTTGGCTTACGTTCTTCCCGGCCTCCCCACAGATAATCTCGATCACGTGAGGGCGACTGACTATTGGGTCTCGTCTGGGGGCTGTGCTGCCTTCGTTCGTGACTTACATTCCCGCTACTTAATACGCTGTCTACATTTAGCGCTTCCCGCATTGGCTTCCAAGCTCGACCAGGCCTGCTGCGGCCGTTCTCTATATTTCCAGAAAGCCCTCTGGAGTCTTGGCTGCTGTCTGTATCGTATCCATTTGAGGTCTGATCTAGTCTCCGCCTGTTATGACGACTAGTTACAATGGGCACATCAGGTAGCACTTGGTGCCTTAAACGAGAATTTTCATTGGAAGACCGGCCCCCAAGCTGCGGTGTTCGCTCAGTCCGAGTGGGACCTTTTCCTTGGCTGCTGTACAGTCGAGTCTCCAGGTACTGCTTGAAGCCATTCTCTGGAGGTGAAGCTGAGCGGGAGTAGGTCCTGTCGTGAGCTGGGTCTGAGAGAAAGAGAGCGAGAAAAAAAGAAATCATGCAAGAGCTTAAACTAATATATCTGTAGAGGATATTTATTAGAATTTTTTCGACTGGCATGTTGCAGGAACGATATTACAAAAGGAAAGTGTCATAAATCTCATTGCAAAAGGTAAAAATTGACTTAAACTGGCACTTCCACACAATAAGACAGGGCTGTGCTAAGAAAACAGCAGGCTAGGTGGAGAGTGAAGGAAGGGCATGATGACAATGGAGTTTCTGACATTTATGTCTGCAGCAGGCAGGAAAGTGTAAATTACAACCGCAAGGAGTCGAGTTTCTTCCATGCTGTGTGCACAGAGGGCAGCCAGCTCATGCACAGACATCCATGCAGATATCGATGTCACCGGTGTGTTCCTACATGGAGTCTGGCCCATAAAGTTTTGGACAATGATACATTTTTTTTTATAAATTTGCATCTTTATATATCCACAGAACACTTTCAGCCAATCAGACTGAACTCCACCGTCACTGACTTTCAATTTGAATTCAAGTGGTTTGACAAAGTATTGCATTAACTGTTTAGGAATTACAATCATTTTTGTAAACAGTCCCCTAGTACCTCTATCAAGAAGCATTTGCGTGCTTCCTATCATTCTGGATGTAAACTTGACAGCTCAAAAAGTTTAGAATAAATTTTGAGAAAACTTTTTAGGGGTGTCGAGTGGAGTCATGTTAATAATCCATTAAAATTTGTCTTGCATCCACTGAGGTCTTCAAGGACAACATAATTTATTGGTCGAAAATGGAAAAAAATCTTACAACTCAGAAACTATGAATCCTACAAGTGTGCGTTGTATTGTTAACATATGCAAAGATCTTTATACAAATTTAAAAGATGTGACTTTGGACCTCTGGCCTGTCCTTCAAGGGCAATAGATGGATGTGAAAGTCACAGTGACAATAGTGCTGTATGTCTCTTATTGTTTGCATTAACATATAGACATATGGGAATTCTAAATGCCACATTATTTTGGACCTTAGGCCACTTCTTCAAGGTCAGGTAGGGTCAAACTTTCATTAAATGTCATTAAAATGGAAATCATACTGATATATGTGGATTCTAAATATCACATTTAGTTTGAATCCAAATATCATGTCACTTTTAACCTTTAACATCAGTTTTATATTTCACATTTGTCTTTCTTTCAAGTTGATCCCAAATGTGTTTTTACTGTACTTTTAAAAAGAACACAAAAAAGAAAATAAGTATATACAAAATACAATACTATTACCTTAAAATTAAATGCTGCCCAGAGAGTGAGCAGCCTTGGCGGAGGTTTGCGCTCTCTGAATACTTCTTGTTATTGGTCTGGATTACAAATTTTTCATGTTTTCCTTTCACAACGTTGATACTTAAGTCTTCTCCTACATTTTTAAGCAAAATCTGGTACTTTTTACATAAAACAAAAACTAGTGTCATGCAAATTTAGATTGCAAGGATCATCTGTTAAATGCATTCCCCTAACCTAAAGCTGGCAGCTAAAGGCTCCCTGCCTTGTACGGGAGTCATCATCTAAATGACGGGTAAACCTGATCCGTGTTTGAGCGTACAAAAATGAAATTTTATTCTTCACATAAAACTGTCATTCTTGGGAATAAGCCTGCAAGAGATGGAGTCCCCTGCTTTGGATTTTGCTGACTGTGTGGCACAGTTAAATCACTTTAAACAGAGCTGTCTACAGTTTTGCTCACATATACACCACGATACTGGCCTGTTTTAAAAATTTTCTGCTGCCACCTCAATAATGTCAAATGTACACATGACTGTGAATCATTTTGGGAGAAGGGCAAGATGTTTAAATCTATACGGTTAAAGATCATGGAAAAATTCCTCAGGCTACTGAGGAAGTTGATTGAGCTTTTCCCGTTTCGTATCGTCGAGAGTCTGAGAATGAACTATGATACGGTTAATTTATACCTCTAGAATCGCCATTCATCACAACAATGACACTAGGCTGCCTTAACCTGGTGCATTTATTCATAAAGGGATGCAAGCTCTGTGCTAACACAGGCTACCGCTGTTGTCATGGTGGATTTGGTGTATTATATTGGGCTTGATAATCCCCCCCACACACTGACACTTAATGAAAGCAATGATATGCTGAAGGAGTATTAAAGTAACCTATATTAATCAGCATACTCATTAAGGCACACTGACTTAATCTGTGAGAAAAGTTTGTGCAGAAATACATTTTGGAATCAAATTTAAACCTTAGAATAAAAAAAAAATAAAAAAATTAAAATCAGCATTTGTTGCTCTTTGGTTTGATCTGCTTAGTTTCTGGTGTGTTTAATAATATTGGTGAAGACTACAGGACTACAGGGATCAAAGCAGGCACCAACAGACGTCAGCACCTAATCCCCTTTCTAACACATTGCTCCCAAACAGAGGGTGATATAAGGGAGGGGGAAGGCAGGGCTTTTGTAAAGCAACACCTGGCAATTCTGTGTATGTGCAGTTTTGCAGTCTGTATAGAGCAACCCACCTCTGTAGCGTGACTCCACCCTGTGTTGACCAGTCCTATCAGGCTCTCTTCGGGGTGAATGCGCCCTACGCATCTCTCCTGCTTTCTGGGCAACTTCTCGAGAAATCTCCCTAAGGCGGCTCTTGTGATTGCTTTTCACTAAGAAACAAGAAAAGACAAGAAAGGTATTTGAGACATTTTTTTCCCCCTCACTGTGTGACGAGGTTATATAGCCAGCATTTGAATAACGCTGACCCTTAAAAGAAATAAAAATAAAGTAGCGACGGGGCATTTGCTGAATCAGGTGGAGATTCCCACCATTAAAGTATTTTTATCCCCGTGTGCATAGATACATCTATCACCGCTACATCCTTTTCCTTGTCGCTCTTCGTCCCCGGCACCCCCGAGGCACTGAGCAGCTGCTGAGTGTGTAGACACAGGCGAACTTTACGGCACATTGCTGTGCTGATGGGAGAGGAAAGGCAGCGGGGAGGAAACGCGGCCATGCAGAGGCTCGCGCTGCATCTCTGGCCCCACATTTTCTTTAAACGATTGGTCCTGGAATAATGCTGTTAACCATGTGAGATTTTAAAAGGAAGCGAGCGAGGACGAGGTGGCAGCTCAGAAAAACAGAACAAAAAACATTCATATCATTCCAGATTTTTTATTTGTTTAACAAAAAGAAAAGAAAAGAAAAGCAGCGGATGTTTTTGAGATTCCACACATTCCGCAAAGCAGGAAGTGTAGCAGTTTAACCACACGATGAATCAGTTTGATAAATTTGACTCTGCTACTCCTTAAAACTGCAGCAGCTGCTGACATTTCATTGTCTTGCAGCATCCCCTCCCATAGTGATCTGTTCAAGGACACGAACAACTTCATACCAGCAGAATGTACAAGGATATCAAAGAAGACGCCGTTAAATCGCATAAATAACTCCTCTTCTCAATTCACTCTCCCCTCTGCTTGCAATTAAGCATGTGCATAATGACCTCTCTCTCTCCTCACTAAGGGTCTCTAATCCCTTCTGTATTACTAGCATGGCCAGATTTAGTTTCGGAGCAAAGACATTTAATTATCTCTTCCGCTAGCTGCTGTTCCAGATCTGTGCTTGTCACCACTCTCCGAGGACAAAATATTTATGAATTAAGGAGTCTTTTCAAGGCTGAAAAACTGCCACACAACATGACTCACCTCTCTGTTTGCATCTTTTCTTATTCACATCAAAACATTTGTGTGTAAACCATAAACTAGGTTTACACAGGTTACATAGCAAAGTGTAGCAGTTTGTAGCAGGTTGGCACTGCTAATAATTTGATTTAATTTGTAATAGAGGCAAAAATTAAATTTAAAAAAAAAAGCTGCTTAATCCCTCCATATTCGTTCCCCCTCTTTACCTGTTCCCCGTCCTCCACTGGTCTGAGTGCTGCCCCTGCTGAGGATTGAAGGGGTCTTCTTGAAAAGATCCTGGCCCAGCAGAGCATTCAGGTTCTCTCTGGTGAGGTCCAGTTTTCTGGGGGAGACTGAAACTTGGGACTCAGTGCCTAGAAAGAAAGGAAAAATGTTTTAAAGGTAAGGCCATGCATGTAGGCGTATCCTTCCCATGAAAAAAAAAAAATCCTGTTGAGTGAAGATCAATAAAAAAAAAAACTAATTTTACCTGAAACTACAACACAGAATTCAATTACAAGATCCACACTGTGTACTACTTCTTGATTTTTGGAGGATGATCCAGTTTAGTCGGGCGCCCTGTCAGCTCTGACGGACAGTGAGCGCTTGCCACAGCCTGGACCTGGGGCACAGCCAGCGTGGAGGGCTGGAGGAGGGTCTTTAAAAGGGATAAAAACCTCCCCAACCACACAAATCCAGGGATATGTAATCCCAACAGGAGAGATGTTCAGCTGTTCACATCAGCAGCGGCAAAGGCAAACAGTGCATTTGATTTGGGAGGTTTTTTTCCTTATTTTTCCCCCCCGACTTCTGATTTAAATTTTACATTTTAATTTTGTTACTTTAATGTACTCGGAGGGAGTATGGAAATTTTTCAACTAAACAGCCGGCTGTGTGAGAATTTTAAGTAGTAAAAAAAATTTAAAAAATACATTTCCATGAAAGATTTAGTGCTTAACTCAAGCTAAAGGTTTACAGAGGCAAATAAGCCACACTTCAAACCCCACAGCAAACATTCACCTCAAACTTGAGACTACATTTGCATTTCAAAACAAACCACTCGGAAAACTTTGGCTACACTTTGCCATTCGACCAGGCGGTAGTAGTAACATTCAGATTTTCTTTTTCTTGGCTTCCAACACTGCACTAAAATGACAGGCATCTGCACCAATCAGCTTCACTTTAATGGCTGCTTGTTTTTTTTAATGGTGGGACATTATAATCAAATGGGGCATTTGGGATGTGACACCACATAATGAATGCTGAGAAAAAGACAGTTGGAATATCAAAGAGAAACACACAGGGGAGTTTGGATGGTGTCATTTCCACAAAAAGACACTCAATCAACAACATCATCACACCTGATATAAAACTGCTATGACGAGGCTTTTAAATGCCAGCATGATGACCTCTGAGGTTATTTTTAAAACATCGTACCTTGCGCTTCTCCATTAACGGGGTTCTTGCTGTGGGACTGGCTGCTGTTTTGTTTTGAGGCATCTTCTGTGGCGATAGCGCTCCCATTTTGATTGGCATAAAAAAGAAGAAGAGGCTGGAAGTGACCTTTGATACATTTACTGACGACATCTTTCCACCGGGAGCCGATCTGCACCAGGAAACAAAGAAGAAAAGAAGAAAAAAGCAGGGTCAATTAACACATTTTAGCATACTGTATAATACTATACCTTCATGTGTGATAGCACAAAGTGAACCAACATGCATTCAAGGGTATAAATATATATAAAATTCACATGCAACTTCAGACTATGTGTGACAAAATGGGGTGTAGCTTTAATTTGTGAGTGAATATAACACACTAAGGCCAAAGCACACAATCACATTAGCAAAGCTGTGTAAGGTGCGCGTCTCTCCACAAAGGTACCACAAAGGCAGGCTGCAGGCTAACAGATGCTTCTGTGCTCCTTAATTAAGCAAATGACGGGGGTAGAGGGAGGGGGGAGAAAGAGAAAGCAGGTGTGGAAGAGATGGCAAAACAAGGTAAAGAGCAACCAATTCAAAGGAACACAGACAGAGGGGGAAAAGGATTTTGACTTGGGGAATGTGCACATATACAATATAGAGGAGGAAGACAAGCCGTGATTGACAAAGCATGTTAGATCAAGGCAAAACAGAGACACATCTGTGTTATTTTTGGATCCTCTTTTCAATGGTGAGGCACAACATTTTTTATCTGAAAGGGCCAAAGACATGTTAAGGGTTAAGACTCTTGGCCAAATCTGCCTTTCTGTTACAGCTTTTTCTCTTAAAGTCTATTTTTTGCCCTCCAGTTTTCAGAAAATCTTTAAATGAATGTTAAAGCAGATATATCTGTGAGCTTCAAAACAATCTCCAACCTCTTCAGCTAAAACCAGTAAAGCTTTATCTGTTGCTAATGCTACATATCATTTACCACTAGTGCATTAACATCGGCCATGTTCTGATTAATGCAAGTGTCTTTAAGCTACCCATGACCCACCATCCGATCAGAACAGCTAGTGAGTTACTGCACTTAGGATTTTGTGCAATTTTATTTCATGCAATGGAAACACAGTAATTGGGCTACACTGCAGCAGTCATTAAGGGGCTGGGACTTGGGGAGTCACAGAAACACTGGCAAGTTTCATTCCAGGTATGGACTTGGCAGGCGCAGAGTACTCTAGCTCCTCCATCTCAGTTGGGAGGGGTTGCACACGCAGCACAAGCTGCTGATGGATTGACACAGAGCCAGCCGGCCGCTGCACCACAGTCCCCGTGAAAATTGTGAGGATGTGAGACAGAAGGCATGCTTGCATGTACACACCATGAAAATAAATCCAACATTAACGGGAAAAAACAACTAAAGGATGATAGGATTCAAAAGTGAGTGTGCACAAACAAACTACCAGAACACAGACACACAAGACCCACTTTCTACATCATGCACACTACACATTGCAGCATTGTCACATCTCCTTAAACTTTACCCAGCTTCATAAAAAAAAAATAAAAACGTCTTTATTAGCTATCTGTGCTTTACTACTGCAGTGCTCTGTGACTACAGAGTAGAGTGTTTGCAGTAGTAGTTTGCAGGAAGTTGGGAGTTTGGCTGACTCCTCACTGCCATAAAGGCTCATCAAACCAGAGGCTCATGAAGCGCAATCAATGTGGTCCTTATTGGACGATAAAAAGTCTTTGTAACAGAGATAAGAGACTGAACATTCGGTCTCGTCTGTAGCAGCTTCTGCTTATCTGTTCAGTGATAACATGAATCCCAAACTCTGATTTTTTTCTTCTTTAGAAAAAGCTTGCACTAATTCTATTCTAACATCTAAAAATACCACAAGGAAGGAAAAAAAAAGACTTTTCATATGTGTGCTGTACAACTTCCTTGCTATTATAATAAATATGTTTCTTATTTTCACATGTGACTCATCTAACATGACTTGAGCACTAGTGCACGCTCTCTCACCTCTTTGACTGTTGCGTCATCAAAGAAGACCCATTTGGCAGATTTGGTGTGGAAGGTGAAGGCACAGTAGTGACGGCTGGAGTAGCAGATCATTCCCACGAGCATCAGCTCTCCCTTTTTGGCATGCTCATCTGTCACCCTGTAGAAGAGCTGTGTATACACACACACACACAAATGCATCAATTACACAGTTAAATCACCACCAAAGTAAGTTGGAAGGCAGCTAAATGATGCAGAGAGCTAGCAGCGTCAGTTACTCCATTTGTTTACAGATTAAGGTCTAAGGGAATGAACTAGCATTGATTCGGTAATCAGTACAAGTAAAGGCTGGTTTGAATCACTGCAGGGGCAGCATATCTTTCCATCCTGGCTACAGGGGTAACCTAGTACTATGCTGTGTTATTTTCAAATGATACAAAGTGTGACTTGTTTGTCCCTCCCATGATTCTTGTACAGCCAGTTCTCCGGCTCTCACTCACTCACACAAACAATGGATTTCAAAGCAAATGATGGTGGCAGTAAGCTCCCTTTTAACGCCCAATAAAGTCACATGAAATGTGACTCCCCAATGAATAAAAGCCTTTGTGGCACATTAGCGGGTGGGTGAGACTGAAAATTCTTCCCATGTCCTAATTTTGTCTGAGTCGTAAAACGAGTGGCTGAAACGCTTCAATCCAAAATAAAAAGATAAATAAATAAATCAAAGTTATGTAAGGTGTAATTCGTATGAGCACGTCCTCACATCAACTCCACTGATCGACTCTAGCTTGTGGAACTCATCCACGTGTGTTGGATGTAAACACTAACAAGCACATATTAAGTAATGTGTCACTATAGTTTATGTTTACTGTGAACATGGCTGAAAATGATCTATGTACATAAACAGAAAGCAGACTTTTATGAGAAAAAAAAAGACATCACTCCAGCTGTGCATACTTGTGATTAAGAATATATGAATATAAATTAAAAAACATAAAAACAAAAACAAAGTTGTGCTGAACCCCCCCATCTCAGTGGTATCCATTTAGTTGACATGTTCGCTTCAGAAGGGATCCACGCACACACACAGACACACAAAGATGAGAGGAGGGGCCTTTTGACAAGCTGACCAAGGCCAGCAGGGGCTTTTTGATCAGTGGCATGGGCCAACTGGGCATTGGGAGTTGACGGCTTACGCAACTACCCCGATTTACAGAGAAATAAATCCCTACTTTATTTCCCACATATGTTGAATTGCACAAAAAAAAAAAAAAAACAACAACATCAAAACAGTAGGGCAAGAAGCACTGCTTGTGTAACAGTTGTATAAATAATAATTCACAAATATACTGACACATTCAATAAAATCTCTGAATACGCCAATAAAACGTCATAATGTGTAAGATATAGAAACGAATGCATGAGATTGCTCACCGAGGAAAGATTGAGAACAGGCCCTAGTGAGCGGATAACATCCTCAGTGAGGTCCGACTGGTCGGAGTCCCACACAAAGCCTATCGTGACAATTTCTGGGGAGTTCATGAGGACTCGTCTGATCCTGATCTTCTGGCCACAGTTGCTCTGGCAAAAAGAGAGAGAGACGCATAGATAAAGACAACAAAAACAAGTTCAGCTGGTTAGAAAGTAGCCTACGACCACAAAAAGCCCCCAAGAAAATGTACTAATTGGAAAGAGTGCCCTTAAATCACACATTTTACTGAAAAAAATGATTAATTTTGCTGGTTAAATAAGGCAAGATAAGATTTTTTTGTACTAGAAGGTTTGTAATTTAAATGCTATCGAGTTACACGCAACCAGTTTGAGCCAAAGAATCATGGCATCTGGCCAAATGTGTCAAACGATGCTAAGACTGAATAATGTTGACATTTTAGCTTTCTTATAATCTTTCTCACACTTCAGTAATGGCCAATTTATGAAATATGATATCTACTGGGTGTACTAAGTAGCAGCGAGGCCAGTCAACAAAGTTGATGTTTTCCAGATTGCTCTTTCACGCAACATCAATGTCATTTTTGGGTGTAAATGCTTCAGTAAAACTCTGGAAGGGTCACTTACTGGACAGTTACGAAGGTCCCCGATCGTACTCGCTGCTTTTAACACGTCCCCAAAAGACTCATCTCTCCGCTGAGGCGTCTGTTGACTGAGAAAGAAGGCAGTGTAAACAGCACATTGTCAGCAGAACTATAGGAAAGAACAAGCAGAGACAAATAAAGATAAGGCACGCTCAGAGACAAACACACTTTCGAAATGCCGCAGTCAGCAAAAGAAATCAGAGTTCTGACCTTGTGATAATTGAAAGAGAGTGTGGAGCAAGACAAATGACAAAAGGGTGCTAAAGGAGGTTACATACTGTCTTTGGCTTACCAGAGTGCGGTGGTGGAGACATAATGCACCAGCTCTGTAAACGGCAGTGGGTCAGAAGATGCCCCACAGCTACGGCACACACACTGCAGAAGAGAGAGGAGAGAGTGACCAACGTGGGCGACAAACAAAAGGATAGAAGTTACCAACAAATTAACGAAATAATAAGTGCACATGTGATTTCGCAAACGTAAGCACTGCATATGACTGGTTAGCATATCAGAGAGTCACTTTCCAGAAATGGGACAAAACCAGTTCTTTGATTTTTGGCTTATTTCCCTGTGATCACATATAAACTCCGAGCTCACCAGTATCCTTTTAAGTCAGACAACTGACATTATCAGGCGTACGATTTCAGGCCTGAAGTTATCGACCTCTCTTTGAGCAAGGCAGTGCTCATTTGGGCCTTTATAATATTTGCAGGATAGGGTGCCCTGAAGTCGAGGTGGAACCAAATCCACCGACTCTGCTCCTGAGGGATTTAGTCCAAAGGCGTATTATCTGTTAGAGTCACAGATAGAACTGGTTCGGGACAGAGACAGTGATGGGCATCAGAGCCACGGGGAAGAGTCTTGTGTTTGTGTGTCTGTGTTGCGCCGAGGTGGAATTTATGTGTACTCTCCTGACCAGAAACACCCTCTATATTTCACTGGGGGCGAGCCAGTATCAAAACATGACTGATTGGATTTCTATTGTCTCAGACAGTGATTAATACCTGTGTGCGCATGTCGCTTAATCCTAACACTGTCTAGTGTGTCTGGCTTGTCCACTCAACACAGTAGAGACTGTGCAAACAAAGATTAAACAAACTAAAACACACACAAAGTGAAGACACAAAATTAATATAACCAACTCGTGCTTAGATAAGCCAGAATAAACAAGCAAGCTTCCAGGGAATATAATATTTATTATTACTTCCTAGCCTCTTACTGACCTGTTCATAAAGTGACATGGCGAACTTCTGATGTGTGATGCAAGAGTTTGAAGTGCAGGCATCTGTCTCCTCAGGCACAATGTGCAGGTGGATCCTCTCCAGTATGTTTTCCTGTGACAGGACAGGAAAACTGTCAGGTATGGGGCTGGTGGTGGTGAGCGGGGAACATTCCACACAGCCTATAGTTTCTCTCCAATTCAGCGATTTCCAAGACAAAGATTGCAGTGTAATAAAATATACGGCCCATATTATACAGAAACTTCAATTTTAGCAGTCGTGTTGTAAACCTTGCAGCAGAAGGAGCACGTTAAAAGAAGAAGCTCCACTCCGTTTTAGCTCCTTCCTGGTTCTAACGCTTGTGAGTTTATGAAATATTAAGGCTGTGAGGTAGGCCTGCAAAGGTTACAGGCTATACTTCACAGGCTGTTAATCTGACACTAGCCAACTCCTCACATAAATTCTCTGCCAGCACACTGCTGCCAATGCTTTAGAGAGAAAACGCTCAAGGGCAAAGATCTGCGCGGTATTAAGAAATGGTACGTCCACATGAGACAAAGAAAACTTTGGAATTTCAGTTTAACAATCCCTCTTCTGAAAAAGCAGGGACATGATTTAAAACGTAGATAAAAATCTGCAGATCATTTAAATGATGTCAAGCAGTCAAATGCAAAACATCAAACGTTGTAACTATGAAAACATGAAAATATTTTGAATAAGATACCAACAGTTCAGATAGAGCATCATATCTTTTAACAACACCCTGTACATGTTTGGGAACTAAGGAGAGCAACTGCTGTAGCAGATGAAAGCCAAGAAAAAAAAAAAAGAAAAACCAAGAAGGGGGTTTTGCATTTTGGCTTGACACTGGCTTTAAGCTTCTAAAGAGTTCAGGGCCTCCTTTGTCTTTCCGTTTCATAACGTACCAAATATTTTTAATGGGAACATGTTTGGCCTCAAGACAAGCCACTCTATTAACCAGACTCTTTTACCACTAGAAAAAGCACAAATGGTGTTTTTTGTGCTGCTGAAATAAGTTAACGAGTCTCTGAGAAAGACGTCTGGATGGCAGCATGTTACATTTCGTTAGTATGTGCACTGATGACCCCCGTGTGATCACAGATGCTGACTAACTCTGAACCACGTGCTGATAATAAGCCCAACAATCCTCCTTTTTAGTCCTCATAATGCATCCATAAAAATATTTTTAAATTAGAGAAATTTATTGGAATTCTCAAAAACTTTTAATTACTTACACAAAAGTGGACATACTCCTTTACATATCTACTTCTGTAAGTGTTTCTGGGATCTCCCCCCCTCAGCCAGCCAACTTTGTAGTTAGTTGAAATACAAAATAGCAGGTAGAACATCTCGTAACGGAATAGTTTGCCAACTATTTTTCAGACAACTGCCCATGTGCCATTTTTTCTTAACTATTCATATAGTTTATGGTTTTCTACATAACACCTCATCATGTGGTAGGTTGATCTGTAACTTATAGGAGAAGCAAAGTGACAAAAATCACACTTGTACAGCCCAATGTGCACGAGTACACTCATCCCCCCCCGTTGTATTCGCGAGAAGTTAGATTCCCTCTTTTGTTTATTCCATTTCTGTGTAATTGCACTTCCTAAATAGATAAACAACCATTGCGTGGGGAGGGGAACAAAAAAAAAAAAAAAAATCAGGATACATCTGTGCCATTTTGGTGTACAGTTTACAGGCACAAGATATCAACATTGTAAGAGAAAAAATTCACTAACCAAACGTGATTGACAAAGTAAAACTTTTTTTTAAACAAATTAAAAGCAGGGTAACAGGACCTTTCCTTTTTGGCTGGAGTCATAATAAAACTGGGACAAAAATAATTAGACTAGTTGAAAATAATTTTTTTAAAGTGGTAAAAGAGCAGAAAAACTGAAAGCAATATGCTAGAACGATAAAGACCATATGAAAGTGATTCTTCAAAAGCTCATGTGCCATACTATGGCAGCAGATAAAAAAGCGGTTCAAACACAACTCTGGTACTTATATAAGCTGTCATGATGATATTCAGCGCCTATGTGGCTGGGGTTGATGGGAGGGACAGAAGCTGTTTCAGTGACCTCGCCGAACAGTTTCATGGCAATGCTTCGCTTGAGCTGTGCGGCAGAATAACACACAAACATACACGAATCCCTCCCGCCATAGTGTTGCCACAGGAACTTACAAAGCACTCTGCGGCATCATCCATGAAGCCCAGCTGGAAGCGCTGCTCGTCCTTAAAGGTCTCCGCCAAGGCGTGACGCAGGTTGTCAGAGGGCAGGGCTCGCTCCCGACTGTGCTGGAACTGGGTGAAAATACCCTGAAGAAGAGAGCAAGAACTTGTTTACACCCTGACAACGGCATATTGTGTTTACAGAAAGCATTTGTGTCACATTTACCGCTCAATGCACAGTCTGAATATGAGAGCAGACGCTCTACACATTCATGCTGACAAACAGGAGCTGCACGGTTACTTTAAAGTGTCAGCTCTTATTAAATAGGCTTATGATCGCATCTTACCTTTAATGCACAAAAAATGCACGACTCTCCCAGACAGAAGTGTCCAGGCAGCTGCCTCAAGCTGCGTCTGAAGATGTCCAGATGCCATAGTACCTACACAAGGGATAGAGCAGAAGCTCGTGAGGCTGCCCTTACACCATAAGATGTTGGGCATATCTCTTACTTACAAGATAAAGCAGTCAAGCAAACACATTCATATGCACTTCAAATATATAGATTTTCTGTACCAATCTGCCTATTTACAAAATAATCATTAAGAAAAGATTCACATTTTTCCCCCATTATGAAACTTAACATTTTTTTAGTTGCTCATAACATGCAGGCATGCTACAATAATAAACTCTCCAAGGTCATAACAACGAGGAGTGGGTGAGAGAACAACTCCCTCACAGAAACAAAGCCGAAAGTAATGATCATCTTCGACCAGCTCATCGGTTGTCTCACACACCCTCTGAGTAAGACCGTCCGATGCTGACCTCACTGCGCGTTGGCTGATATAATGAACTAACTCACCAGCCAGTACCCCACAAGAAAAAAAACTAACCATCCAGAATGAATTAATAGCTGGGAAGCTCTGACAAATACAGACAGTGACTAAGCTTTGCAATTTCCAAATAAATAATGGTTATTTTTTCAAGAGGGTGGAACATGTTCCCAGAGGGGGGCTGCAATAAATAAAGTTATACAAGCAGCAAATAAATTTAAGAAGTTTGGAGGACCGGTTAGAAGCACTGACTGCCATTTTTGTGCAGTTTTTACATAAAAATGTTCATGAGGTGTCAACAAACCTGCACAGCACTGTTGAGGAAACAGCTGTTCTGGCCAGGCTCGTTGAGCAGTCCTTTGGTGGGGGCCAGAGACAGCATGCTCCCCGGCTGGTAGGATTTCCCCAGATTGCCCCCTGGCTTCCTGAAGAACTTGACCCATGCCATTGGTTAGTAGGGTTGCCTTAGTACAGGTGAAATAGTCAGATGACACGGTGGGTGGATGCTTAGATCAGATCCCCGGAGCCCTGAAGAAGCAGCTGTCCAACAGTCTGAAGCTAAGTTATTCCACAAGCTGCAGCGGCTGCTCTGCTATACATGGGAGTCCAGTCTATGTCTGCAGCTCAAGGAGAAGGTCCTTATATCGTGCCAATTACTTAAAAATCTTCTGTATTAAAAATTGAAAAATAAACACACGTGCGCACAAACGCACACATACACACAAAAAAAAAATTACAATCCAACTCTTCTTTTTGGCCGGCCTTTGTTAACCAGTGATCTAATATGATGCATTCTCAACACGAAGGGACGCATTTCAAACATCTTGTGCTGTTTGTGGTCAAAACTTCATAACAGCTTCAGAACAAATTGTTGACACCTATAAGAAAATCCTGCCACATGGTCCTGGCGACTCTTCCCTTGTTCCCGCTCAGAAGTTCACACGTCGAAAGGTTAGACAGCAAACACGACCGGGCTGTGTAAGAAAAAACAAAAAGAGAACTAGATTTAAAAACACGTTAACAGCTAATGTGGTTTGCTGCTTTTTATCCATTATGCCTTGCTGCTTTAACATACATTTAACACTACTGCACTGGATGAGTGATTCAAAACAATACCACAGGAAGTCACATGTGAAATTTCAGTCGTGTACCTCCAAATTGAGGTCAAACCTGACTGTTTATACATGTCAGGAAAGCTTATATATTAACTTTTACAGCCACCCTTTGCACTGGAGGCGTGTCAAACTAAAGATGGCACTAACTTAGGTTTCACATTAACATTCAGACAAATTTATTATTTCCTAAACAATACAGACAGAGAGCCAACACACACGTAGGAGTTACAGCTCACTAGGCTGCAGCCTGTACTTCATTTAAAAGGCAGAAAAATTAAGAATTATGAATTTTCAAATTTTCTACAGTATAGACAAAAGAAAGACACTTAAAAGAAAAAGAAAAAAGGGAGGGGCGATGGTGACAATTGTGCAAAGAGCTATCATCAGACAGGAAGGGAGCTTAGAGGAAACACTGGATTTTTTTCCCCCCCTCTAATACTGACGCAGAACATCACTTCCCCAGTATGTATCACTTTCACTGGAGGGGATTAACTCTTGTCAGTATCAGTTAATTGGTTAATGTTTCATCCAATTAATAATCCAACATCATATTAAACAGAAAAAAATAAGGGACCAGAATCCAAAGCAACAGATCAGTTTAATTTGCCATCTTGTTACTGGACTTTAATTAAGGTCCTCAATTTACACGGTAATTTGAAACCAGAAAACTACTTCCCTTTCTCTACTCAACATATTCGAACAATAGTTAAAAGACCCATCTGAATAAATTCTGCATACTTCTCTACTTCTGACTTCTCACTATGGGATGCAGTGGTACCTCTGTTGAAATAGAAGCATACAAAGATTGGTGTTTGCAAACAATGCCACAATCACAACTTTCACTTTATAAATGCTAAAAATACATATGGGGAGAGAGGCCTGAAAAAGCAGTTCTAAAGACGTGGCTGTACATCAATCAGCACCGAGACACACGGTCTAAAACTGGAGGACTCTCCCGTAGAGCAGCCAGCCAGCAAAGCTCAAACTCAGCTCAACTTGCAATCCTGTTATTTTGGCAAAACAGCAGAAATTTCTACAAAGCTTACATTTTTGCTCATGTGTCAACAAAAAGAAAACCAGTGAATGGGTTTATGGGCTTTTCCACATGTCTGGGATAAATAGCATCATGATTGGAGGACCAAAAAAACTCTTTTTCAGTCTGAAGCATAGTGGAGGCACGGTGGACTTACGTTTCTATCTTAGGAAGGATATAAAGATTTTATTTATTTGATTTTGTATTTTTAAAGAGAGAGATAATGTCGATAACCTGACGCTTATGCATGTAAGAAGCTGGAGAAATATAAGAATATATAGTGTACTGGAAACACAAACAAGTAAATTTATAATTAAATGGTGGAAAAAGAAAGAAAACATGTTTTGGAATAACCATGTGAAAGGCCTTGATCAGGAGGACAAATGGTCTAAAATTCCTTCACATGGTTGTGTAAGTTTAGCAGCAGCAATATTAATAATCCGAGTCTGGTGTGTCCAATAAAGACACACACAAAAATTCAACTATTTGCGTGGTAATTAGTTCAGTCATACCGTGCTTGTCTAGAATTATGACTTTAAACCAGACCAACTTTAATTAGCAACTCAGTTATCCTGATAAATTTTCATAATCTCTTTATTGCAACTGTGTGAACCTGAAGTGAAATAAATAGTTTGAAATGAATTTTAAACAACGTGGGCGGCTGTAACTCCAGAGGAGAGCTCAGTCTGAAACTGCTAGTCAGCTATTTGTGGCCTGACATTTCTAAAAACCCATATAATGCTGCTCCAAGTTTCTATTCCATCCCATTTTTTTCTTACTTTGTCTGGCCCCGTCACGCTTTTTATAAAATCAGCTACAAAGAAAGACTGCCCTGACCTATTTTTTTTTTCCACCATGAGTTGAGCTGTAGTGAGCATTTTAACAAACAATTGAAGATGCAATAAACTGAGCTACACCAACAAAATCTGGAGGGAAAGTGCATCTTGGCCGGAACACATTCATCCAGCAAACCTCTTAAAAGTGTCTGTGTTTATGCTGAACAAGTCAGTGGGGGGTGTTAATATCAGTGAATGGCCAAAGAGGTCAGCATACAGTCAAAACCTTTCAGTTGTGATGTCTTTATTGGGATTTTCACAAGGTAGCATTTTAAATGGTAACAGGACATGTCCTTGTAACTTTACATATCTCACATTGTTCTCATTGTTCCAGTACCAAAAAGTACAAAGAAGCAACAATGTGCAACAGTGACTCATCCAATTTTAGTCCCCAAGACCCAAAAAATAGTCGCAAAGAATAAACCTCAAACATTTTGTTATTCAGAGTAAGAAGAAGAAGAAAAAACTGCCCTACTTAGAACAAACAATGAAACTTCCCTCTTGTGACAGTCGCCAGAACCACTGAAAAGTTTCGGCTGAAACTTGCAGGACAACATTGCCATCGTGGTATTTTAGGAATCCTCGATGTATGATGACATTGCAACAACGCAGTTCGATGCAGAATCTAAGGTTGTAAGCTGCAGTTTTGTATTTTACAGTCATCTTCACATGCCCTGACTAAATGCACAAATGTCTCTGCCGTTGTACTTTGCAACTGGGCTCCTTGGCAACAGCATTCCAAAGCAATCACTTAAGCTCAGAGTTTCTTAAGAGCTGCTGTTTTCGGATTTGCTTCAGGGCTGGACTGGCAAATGGAAAACCCACCTTTGCCGATGACATCACAAGTCGGGACAAGTCTGTACAAGGACATCAAGTTTGTGATCATGTGATGAAATGGAAAAACAATTAAATTAATCACCTACACCTTAGACGACAGAGGCCGAGCACTCTACTAATCCATTATACATTTATTGATTCTGTTAATTAGGAACTGGTACATTTATTCCTGTTTTCAGGGAATAATACGCAAGCATCAAACATATCCGGCTATCGTCTCACCCATACCCATTTAGCAGAATGCAAAAACAATCCCAACCCTTGTCTACATTATTCAATGTCAAACTGATGTAACAGAGAAAGAAGCTGAAGCATGTGCTGTATTGAGACACTGCTGACAACAGCATGAGTAAATATGGCTCTGTCTTTCTGGTCCTATGAATGTTATTGCATTATATTGGTCCATTTGGAAAAAACTGTCAAGCTCAGTTATGTTAAACCATCATTTCTAGGAGCAAAACTGACAGCAAGTACACTTCAGTAATGTTGTGACGATTGTAAGATCAACATTTTGCTGTCTGGCTTAAGTTAAGCGGGCAGAATTTATAACCACCGCCTTTATTTAACAATAATTAATTAACATTACTGTTATTCTTTTTCTTTTGTTTGTTATGAGGGGATTAATGGATATAAAATAAAATAAAAGCAGGAAATCAGAAAACATCAGGTGACAGAGACCGCATAGTGTCGGCACTACAGGATACGTGCACATTTTTAGACAAGGGTTGGCTATGCTACGATCCTGAAAGGTTAAAGTAGCACATACTGTGCCTAATGTGTAAACACGGACCAAGAAGAGTGACGAGAAAGCAAAGAGAGAAGCACACTGCCTGCACAGATGACTCTGCTGACATTCTTGCTGTATTTCATCTTCTTCTGTTATGTGATATTAATGATAAAATACCTATTTTAAAATTGAAAACAGATCCCCCACAATCAATTTCAACTAACAGCAGCCATATGAAATATGTGCTTTCTTGTTTACAGACCTAGGTGGAGGAAACGAATCTGGCCAGCGGCAAAATTGTCCATAAGCCAAGTTTACATCACTGAGTAGTAAGCCAAGACGGCTGTTGACACCCTTTGCTTTCAACTCTAAGTGGAGAATGACACCATATTTCTCTTATTTTCCCTTTTCTGCTTCGATCCCAACAACATAGTCCACAAAACCGCCTGACTTCACTTTAAAACACAGTCGTGTTGACCTCCAGTTTCTGCCTTGTGAGCAAGTAGCTCCCTCGAGTTCTCTTTGAATTACCTCTCGTAATTAAAACAAAACATTGGTGATTAAAGATAACAAAAGGCTATGTTTAAAAATTAACCAGCAATTGCGCTCTCACACACATACACACAGGTGAAGCAGAGTTCAATCACATGCAGCAAAGTATCTTTGATAAGTGGAAATTAGGTCACACCTGTGGCCAAACGTAGTGCCAAAGTTCCACTGAGGTAAAGTACATAAAAGGGAAACATTAGTTTACACAGCAGCGCTTAAAACTGCAGAAAATAAATAATCAATCAGATCCTACTTTACACATGAAATATCCTTAAGTATATGTTTACATCTTATATTTAGGGATATCACCAGAACTGATATTTACAATACCTATTATACCAACATTTTTAAAACTCAAAAGGTACTTGCTTTTTACAATATTGTAGTTACCTAAAGCATGATAACTGAATAGGGTTGTCAATAAAAATGGATTGCATACTCATTTGAAACAGTATTCATACCAGCAGTACTTTGCCTCCTCCAGCTGACACACAGCCCCTCCCCTCACTAGCAGCTGAACACATGAACAGTAGTATCTTAAAACATCTCATCTGCTGACACTACAGTCTTTACAAAGAATTTGGTGAGGTCAGTAAAGCTCCTGTTTAAACAACATCGAAGTAATAAACACTTAGGAACAGATTATATAAATAATTGTTTTTAAAAACTGCTTTCTAATCTCGAGTTTAGTTATCCATGTGGTTATGCAACATCCTTGACTTACAGCCATTTAAAGGGAAAAATATTGCATTGGAAAACATTGTTACTAGATAAAATAGTTATCCATAAAAAACAACAGCAGCAATGATTTTCAATGTACTATGGAAAAGTTGTCAGAGATGCAGCATTGAGCCAAAAACAAGAGCCAAACAAAAGCAGTCATTTCTTTTTTTCACCAAGGGGCACAACTGCAGGAAGTCCAGTCTTCCTTTGTAAACAAAGACTGGCTCAGACTTGTCAAACAAGGACCAGGAATGACTCCCTTCTCCCCTTGTCATATGGAAAATGCTAAGGCTAGCACCTTCAAGCAGTCAGCCAAAGAGCATGTTGTGCAGTGGCAGCTTTGACGAGCCTGGAGGATCTGTAAAATGTGTCCAAATTTGGGGTGACGGAGTGGGGAGTCAGATGGTATAATTTATGAGTTAGTGATCAGTTGATGGATAGCCCCATTAACAATGATTCAACTGATCTCCTTAATATGGCAACGCCAGCAGCTGCTGATGAATCAATCTGTGGTAAATTGACTCACACTATGTCACTTTTTTCAAGAAACAAAAATAGAAATGCATCATTGCAGCAACACAAAGAGAGAAGATTTCTGATGTATATATTGTTGGAACGGTCGACTTTCGGGTTCCCAGCAGCGAAAGCCTGTAATTCTCTCCACATCGGCTTTTTCAAAAGCCCAAATTACAGCGTTATTAATTAATAAGGCTCTAAGGATTAATTCTTAATTCACGTTCACAATTTACAATATGAACTGCCACAGAGTACGATACAGCTTAACGTCTCTGAAACTCCTTCCTCTCAAATGCAGATCAATACATCTCCCTGTCAAGCTGGTGCATTATACACCTAGATGACAGCCGAGCGTGTTCCCTCCTGTTACTCCTCAGCTGTGACTCACTGTTGATGAATGGCTTTTTCCTTACTGGAGATCACGTAGAAAAAGCAATTGCTGCACACGTGTTCTCGCTGCGTGTCATGCATTTTAATGGCATATGTTAAAGAGGAAACTCGTAAATATTCAACTTTCCCTTCAGAAAAATAACTTCAGGGCCACGCACACCGGCTCCTACTCTGCATCCTATGACAGCCGTAACATGCGTCATCTCTTTCCCACCTTCACAGACACTTTTCTAAATGTGCTTTAACCACACGTGAAAATCATTTCCGGCTGACAGCAAAATGAGATCGTTTTTTAAATTAAAGAATAGTGGAGCTAGATTAACATAGAAACACTAATGTTAGAAAGAAAAGGGGTGGATCCAAATAAAGTGAATAAAAATAGCTGAGCGAGGTAAAAGAGTGCAGTGGGTTTGTTGTTATAAAGTGCGGTTCATAAAGGCTGCCAGGTGTAAAATCTATTTTAGCGTTAAGTTAACCATATCTGAATTTAGAGCCGTTCCTTGGAACAGATTGACTTTTGACAAGTGGACAATTACTCCCATTTTCTGGGTCTGTTTTTAGACTTGAAAATGAACTTCTCCACTTTTGGTAAAGTCATACAAAGTTCCAAGTCTGACTCATATTGATAGAGTAAGGATGAATCACAATTCTTCCTTATAAACTACTCTTAAAAGCAACATTTAAAATTTCCCTGAACTGAACGCATTCAACATTTCTTCCCTCGGTCGGTTTAATTAATTAGGCGTTAGAACTAGGAAACAGATTCATAAACAAGCAGCCAATGCATGTACAAGAACAAGCAATAAATTTGACCCTGTGTGTTTATTCTACAAAAAAA